AATTTCCTTATGCATATGTTTATGCGATTATGCAAGTTTGTCTGGATAGGCCCTTAACCAGCTTCGATACGCACCTGATCCTTGTTATCTAATGTCATATCGCGCTCGCTTTCTGTTATTTAGATCTCTTAATCTACAAACTATGCCTGATTACTCAGCAAATGAAATTGTTAATATTTTGATCATTCTTGATGAAGTTGGAAAAAGTTATCGTCAAGCGGCTATAATGTACAGATTTCCGTACGTGATTTCTGAACAGATGTAATTTATTTACTCATAAAACAATTAAAAGAAATGAAATTTGTTAGCGGTAAAAAATTGTGAAACAACAACGACAATACAAAAATCTGCAAAATGTTCATGATCCAAAAATTATTACTTTACGAGGGATGGTTGAACTAAATCCTTACATCAATACACGTGAAATTCTTCGACAATCAGGTATTCCTAGATCTACCGTAATAAGAATTTTGAATAATAAAATTTTCATCCGTATTATATTTGTTTAACTCAAGATTTGTTAAGTAATGACATGCAAAACAGAGTACAACAGATGGACTGTAACAGATTACGGATAAATCCAACCTTTTTTCAAAATATTTTTTTTAATAACGAATTAACTTTTCATAATACTGATCAACTAAATAGACATTGTTAAGAATAATTTATTGTACGCTAATGTTCCGATAGTTGTCGCTGTATCTAATATACGATCTTATTTTATTTTATCTTGTTACCACGATACCATAAAATGTTTGGTAGTTATTGATTTTCTGTTAGTTGGTTGTGTTACGTTCTGAACAGAATCTCCACGATTCTTTTCTTTTTGAATAAGGTACAACAATACCAGACCTAGTAAACACGGAACCAACAAAATTTTTAAAGAATATTTTAACGTCGGAGCTGCTTTTCTCATGAGACATCACGAGCTCGAGTTTTCTCACAGAGAAAAGTAGCAAGTGGCATCGGTATTTTAAACAATCTTGGCTACTCAGTGTGCCTATCGGCGCCAAGAAAGTCGTAAAAGTCGAAACTCTGCTGTAGCTGGAGTCTTCAGCCGACTCCAGATGTTTAAAAGTAAGAGATAAAACTGGCACCAGCTAGCCCATACCCATGGATTCCAACTACGGGAACCCTATCTAATAGATAGAGTTGTACTAGATAACAATCGGGCAATGACCG